TAAATCCCCCTTGAGCGTCGCAGTCCAGCTATCTATATCCTCAATAGCCGCACTGCCACGATTCTGCCCTTTCCGAACTTTTCGAAACGCGTCCCAATCCATCAGCCGGTGGTTCTTGCCCTTGGTACCTTCCCGATGAACGCGGCGGTGAGGTTCAGCGTCGACCTGGATCTCGATCACTGAGTGATCGCTACCCAGGTCCTCCTGTGTATTGTGCCATCGCGCGCTAGCAACGTTCTTGGTAAATGTGAGGTCGGGTGAGGTGTCTGCACATACGCTGTTGCCCCTGCGCGTCCGCGCGGAAGGGTCTGTGATGAGCTCGAGGCCCTCATTCTGCGCATCGTCCCAAAGGCGCTTACCTTTTGGCGTTTCGTAGCCGTACCCCCACGCCGCGTGGGGCGCGTTGAAGTCGCCCGCGATGAGCAAGGGCCCGTCGGCAGCTGCCTCGCGCGCCTCTCGCAGTAACGTGCTAAAGCGGTGTCTGGCTTTGGGTCTGCTATACACGTTCAGCACAAGCAGGCCGGGGCCGCGTCCTTTCGTCGGGATGAGCTCTATGAGTACATGCGGTATGCTAACGTTCATAAGTTTGCGTTGCGCCACGGTGAGGTTGCGTCGCACTAGCGTTGCCGCGGCCGGTGGGGCTCCCGCGGTCAGAGCATCGTCTATAGATTTGTACCCCGCCAGCTTGACCGGGTCATTGGTTTCCTGCAATAGTATTACGTCTGGTCGTTGCCGGCTACGTAAGAATTGTTGGAGAAGCGCCCGTTTTCTCCTGTACCCCCTGCAGTTCCACTGCCAGATAGTGAACGTGTTCCGTGTGTTATGTTGTTGTGGGCGTTGTGTTTGTGTGGTTTCGTGTCGAGCCATGGTGACTGTACGTGTTATGATTTGCCGTCCGCCTGATCCTGCACCTCTTCGTCGGGTAACGGCCTAAAGTAAGGTTTCCCAGTCGTTCGTACTGGGCGACCCACTGCGCCCGGAAGTCGCATTTCGATATTGTCTATGCGCGTTTGCAGCGTCGCGACCATTTTTGTGAGCTGAGATATTGCAACGCTCAACTATTCGGTTTGTGCGGTTTGCTGAGCAATTGCGTTGTTAAGTTGCGTGGTTTGCTGCGCGTGTTGGGTCATCATCACGTCTACCTTGTCGTCGAGTATATCGACTCGTTCGCGGAGTTTCTCCTCGCGTTTCTGCGATTTGACGTCGAATTGTTCCAGGTCAAGTGCCTTACGTTTAGTGGGTGCGGGGTGCGCGTCTTGAGCCTCCATGACTTCCTCCGCACTCTCGGCTGTACTAGCAGCCGTGTCGGCTGCGACGGATTTAATTGGAGGAGGAGAAGGAAAGGGAACTGTCGGGGCCTCCCCCTTCAACGTGGCAATTTCGTTTCTTAAGCTTGCATTTTCCTGCTGTAGTTTTTGGATTATTGATTCGAATTGGTCCAATCGTTTCTGCATTAGACTTTCTGAGTCGCTGTTCCGTTTGTAAGCAGAGCTGCCGCGTCTGTCTACATCTAGGTTTCTATGAATGGCAGTCTCGGTTCGCGTTAGCGGTGCGCTGGGCGCGCGTCCGGAGGCGACGTCCACCCACCTCAATTTATGGGGGTCAACCTCTCGTCCGCCTTTGGCTGCAGCTGTGTGGTTGGCTCGGACCGTCGACGTGCGGCGAGGCTTCGCTGAACGGGGTCGGGAGACGCTGCGAGAGCGGGCTCGAGAACGAGTACGGGAGCGAGTGCGGCTCCGCGCGCGGGTCTCCCTCGAGGCCGATCGACTGTTGCCGCGACGTCGTCTCGGTGCGTGGCGTCGTCCGTAGCCCTCCTCCTCGTCGTTGACGGGGCTGCTACTGCTGTAGGCGGCCTCAGCCTCCTCGCGCATTCAGCGTTCCCACTGTCGGCGCTTTACTAGGTAGGGTGTCTTGTACTTAGCTTTGCACTTACGGTCTCCGGTGAGGTGACCCTTTCCGCACAGTTGGCACACCGGCTCACACCGATGATCGTTGGGCGGGTTGCCGCATCCGCACCCACGGCACTTCTTGTCGTTCGGGTTGGGGCACACGTCGGCCCTGTGTCCCAGACGACCAAACTCGTAGCACATATCGATATGTTTCTTGTAAAGAGTGCACCTTATCACCATCCCGCCGTAGTTCACGTAACGAGGCACGTAGTAGCCGTCGAAAAGGATTATCACGTTGGTCGTGTTTCCCATGCGCTTGGCATGCATGACGTTCGGGTTGCGGTGGGTAACCAGACTTCTCACGACGTCCGCCGGCATTTCGTCTAGCGATAAGCCCCTGATGAGGCCTTTGGACGTGTTCTCCGGAGCCGCTCTGTAGGCACTCGCTTCGAACTCGCGGTCGCCAATTTGCAGCTTGCAAATGCCTCCATATGGTCTAGCGCGATCTTCTGACGGCGTGCTTACCACACTAACGTTTTGTCGCTCATTGAGACAGGCGCTGTCCTCCTCGGCTACCTCGCGCCCAACCCCTGCAGCGTTGCGTATGCAGCAGTGGACGCGGTCCATCTGGTAGTGGGATACGTTGAAGCCATCCCGGGGTCGCACGATGATCTTGTAGTCATCCGTCGGCAGGTTGGGCATTCGGCTCGTCACCGTGATCTTCCGCACGTACTGCGTTGCTTTCTGTATAAACGCCGCCTTCTCGGTAGACGCTGGCGTTGCTTGCTGGTTCTTCGCCGGGTCGGCGTCTCCACCCGCCTTCTTGGTGTTTCGTTTGATCTCGCACCACCCCTGCTCTTTTCCGAACACCGTCGGCGATATCTTCTCCCCTTCGACTTGCATGAATTCTATTTCGGGCACCGGTGCCGCGGATGGGGCAGCCGCTTGCTCCGGCGAGCTGCCAGGCCTACCGTGCCTTGTCTACTGGCTTGACTGTCGTGCCAGCGTGGCGGTACGGGCAATATTCGAAAAGTGACCGAAACATGGGCTCACCTGCACAAATTGTATCGGCAGAGACCGAAAGACTTTCGCAGTCACTTGGGAATACTCTCAACTGAATGGCTGGAAAGAAATCGCCAAAAACCATAGAAAATCTGCGGAGCCGATGCGACGTGCGTCCGCACACCGTGGCCGTGACCGTGACATCATCGAGAGTAATGTCAGTCCTTGTCAGCCACAAATATTTATCGAACTCTAAAACATCCTCACTTTCTTAGCCTTACCTCATTTTAAAGCAGCTGATAGAGACAGCAACGTTTACGGAACCCGTCCAATATAGTAGTAACGTCTACAACCTTTGACGCGCTAAATATAATGACAAAGCTTTTTACACCTACAGCAGAAAACGTGCGCAAAAGGTAGGAAACGTGCGAAGGCGTTAAAAAAATGCTGTGGTTACTATAACGTTAACTGCTTTTTGGGAAATGCGGTATACAATAACAGGGTATTTTATCCACCTAAAAATAACAAAATTGTAAAGGTAGTGTTTTTGAAAGAAATACGCCTCAATCAAGACAGTCAATTGGTAGGTCCGGGAAAACACGCTGTCTCGTATTACAGTCTCATCCTTTCGAAATTGCACTCAGAATATATGGGCTCCATACATTGTCATGGAAGTTTTCGGTACTTCTGGAGTAGAACTAATTCCGAGCAACGATGTTATTTAGTCATCGAATTTTTTTTCGCCTTGCTTGCTATTAAAGTCCGACACTTGAGTTCATTCATTCATTAAAATATTTTGTCACAAGACTCAAACAGACCTCTACACCTTAGTAATTGTTTCGTTTTTATTGCACATTGCTGTCACGTTCCCAAGACACGTTCACATCGTATTGGCTGACTCTAGGTCATACACGCATAATTTCAACGTGCGTGCAGCAGAGTAAGTAAAAAAAAATCTCGTTCACTAGCCAAAGTTGTTCCCCAAAGCAGACTGACATCATAATTAGCACCTCGTGATTTCTACATTATTTTTATGAACACCTCTCATAAGGGCCTCATGTCTTTCTAGCACCGAAAGCACGTCTTGCAGTAGCTGCTGCTTAATCACGTATTTAGAAATTAAGAAAAAAAATTAGGAAATCAGATACAGCAAAGTGCTTGCTTCGTTGGTCGCTGTTTCAAATATTTGACACTAAGAGATCAATTATCCAATCTACAGAGTGCACTTAAAATGTTTGCGGAAAAATCTCTTTCATTTCAGCCTTTTTTTCCGAAGCATGGTTAGTTTGTTTACATCTGTGTCACAGAAAGGACACACACAAGTGACGTTTACTATACTTGCGTCTTTATTAGAAGTGAATGACGAACAAATTGAATACGAATACATACAATAACATAAAATGTTTTCTGCCACCGTAAACCTAGAACTTGCGCCAGAGACATTCAGAATCGTGGTTCAGTAAATCTTGTACCTAGGTGAGTTGGTTATAATCCTCGGTAAACTGTCGTGCGCTAATGCAGGCAAACGACAACCGAAAAGAAGAGACGGGGTCAAGCGCAACCAGGTCACCCAGAATTATGACCCAAATGGACCAGCTACAAGTTGTACTGAACCACATTTCTACTACAACGCGCCCTTTCTTCAATGTACCTGAAAAATTGCGTTTGTTCCTGTCTCTACTTTTCAGTTGTCGCTTGTCTGCATTTGCGCCCACCAGCTTACACGGAACGCTAAGAACCATATGAACTAAAGACATGAATGCTCTGATGCTTGTCTAACAGTCTGTCGACAACACCCATAAGCCAAACGAAAGCGTTGTACGGGAAAGAGATATGGCTAGTCACATGTTCTTGCATCTATACCATGAACTCTGTCATACAGATTGCAGCCCTTAATATAAACAAAATCTGCTAACAAAAAACCGGTAATAAGTCAACCTCGCGTACCGAACGCAGGTCTGCGTAGACATACACAACTAGGTAACCTTAAGCTCAGATTCCCCCGGAAAGGTCAGTCTCTGTGTACAAGCCGGTGAAAAGGTCTCGGTTAACGCTGCCATAGGAATACACAAAATAGTGGCCTGAAAACAATACACTAGCTCTGTACACTTAGTCGCAGTCACTGCGTTTCCACTTGGAATTCAGCCCGTGGTGTCTGGTGTGGTGGGCGGTCCGCAGTCGTCCGTTGAGAAACTTCATGGGGCATAGACCACACGGAATGGGGCGCACGCCCGTGTGCTCGCGCAGGTGCCACTCCAGCTCGAGCTTCTTCGCAAACAACTTGTCGCACGAATCGCAGCGGTACCAGGTGTCGAAGCGGTCGTCCACAGTCTGCTCAGGTTTCTCGTTCTTGATGGCTACAGGCTTTTGGCAGCCGTTGACATCACTCGCAATGGCAGCCGGCTCTGTCCTCGGCTTCTTTTGCTTCTCCTGGAGCTGCCGTTCACCTGCAGCGTGTCATTAATAAAGTAGAAAGAAAGAAGAGTACATTTAGGGGCTAGTTTCTTTGTCAGACACAACATTCACGAGATCTAACAATCATGCCAAGGAAAGCATAGGGAATATCATTAGAAGCATATCAATGTAAATGGGAAGAAATAATTGTGGATGAAAAAAAAATTTACAGATCCCACGTACACTGCGAGTCGACAATATGCGAAACACGAACGAGAACTGTTGCTATGTCACTTTGAAATCAACACTACGCTACGAGGTGGAGGTAAATGATGCCGTACATGACTTCAGCGTCATGATTATGATGTTTGGGTGTGTCGTTCACCTTCTTCATTGATTCACGTCGCGTGATAATTAATTAGTTATATGTAGAGCGAGCGAAACGGCCGCGAGGACGCTACGAGCGTGGTATGTTGTCATGTTCTTACATGACACTCGTGTCAGGATTATCATGCTAGCAGAAGTCACATACTTCGTCATTCATGGACGTCACGTAACACGCAATTCGGTATAAGTGAAGGTAGCAAAAAGGCCACGAACGCATCATGAAGGGCCCAATATACTCTATTGTAGCGTTGACGCGCGCGCATGCTGGGCACAGCGACGGTACGTTAGCAAAATGCGAGCCCACTAAAGTCTGACGCCAGGCGCGACCAGCGTCCGTCGGGGAGGTGCGGCGACGACCAGCGCCAATTGCGACATGCTGCATTTCGGCATTTCGCGCCGATGCGTTACCCAGACAACACTGCGTCTCCCTCTTTTCGTGACGGAAGGACGCTGGACGTGCTGAAATTCCGCATGCGTCATAGTAAGGTGCATGCGGCGTGCGCCTGCGAGTATATGGCAGGACAGGTGACTGGCGTGGCAACGCCGGCGTGACCCGATGAAACGAACGCCGGTGAGCACGCACGCCGCGTAACGTCGAAACGTATTGGCGCCTTGACTGTGGCATGTACTCATGTTCTCACATGACACGCATCTCATGAATATCATGTTTGCACCAGTCACATATCTTTGTCCGCCATTGGCGGGACTTAATACAAAATTTGGCATATGTGAAACTTGCGAAATGGCCATGATTGTATCCTAAATGTGGCATTAGTCATGTTGTTACGTGACACGCGTGTCGTGGTATAATGTTTGGATGTGTCATTTACCTATGTCGTCCATTCGCGTCGCGTAATATCGAGTTTGGTACGTGTGAAGCTAGCAAAACGGCCGCGAGCGCATCAGTAGCGTAGCATGTAGTCCTGTTGTTACATGACATGCATCTCATGTTTATTATGTTTGCACCAGTATCATACCTTCGTCACCCATTCACGTCCCGTAATACCAAATTTGGTATGAGTGAAGCTAGCGGAATGTGTGCCAGCCCATAATGAGCGTTGCGTGTAGTCATTTTGTTACATGAAACGCATCTCGTGGTTATCAAGTTGCCACCAGTCCCATACCTTCGTCATTCATTCACGTACTGTAATACCAAATTTGGTATATGTGACGCTAGCGAAGCGGCCGTGAGCTTATCATGAGCGTGGCATGTAGTCATGTTGTTACATGACACGCATGTCATGATTTTCATGTAGGGTCTGTCGCTTGTGTTCGCGATGGAATCATGCCTTACTATACCAGTTTTGCAACATGCCATGTGAACGAAACCACCGCAAGAGCTTCAGAACAATGATATGTAAACTATGACATTGATGACATCCATGTCACGATTTTCATGTTACGAACTAGTCAAATACGTTCTTCGCGCAGTCATGTTGTGCCATACGAAGTTTGGTATCGATACCATTATGGAAACGGTAATGAGAGCTAAAGGTCGTAGGCGGCTAGATTAGATAGATAGATAGATAGATAGATAGATAGATAGATAGATAGATAGATAGATAGATAGATACATAGATACATAGATACATAGATACATAGATAGATAGATAGATAGATAGATAGATAGATAGATAGATAGATAGATAGATAGATAGATAGATAGATAGATAGATAGATAGATAGATAGATAGATAGATAGATAGATAGATACGCTCAAAGTCTCTGAAGTTCGCTAAGAAATGCTTCGTATTTATATAACTTGCCGTGGGCAGGCACCATACCTGTGACCTTCCAATACCACGTCCGATCCTCTGCCAGCTGAGCTAACACGGTAGCGTCTCCGTCCGCTTAATGGCGCATATATGTGCGTTAAACATGGGAGCGTCAGACAGCGCCGCCAGTAGCTATGACGGCGAGTGTAGAACACTATTTATCAGCCTTTATGAGAATTTATTGCAGCAGTACCAGTAAACCAGATATCTTAAAGGGTTGAAAAAGATGGCACCTTCACAATAAGTCAATATCAGGCACAGCTCCATTGCATTCCGCTTTCATTTTCTTTCACCAAAGTTGTTTTAAATTAAAGTATGTCATTTGTACTAGTCGATGATGTTAGACTGATTTAGTTGCGAGTCTGCAGCAGCTGTACGGACGCAGCCTCCCATTGCGCATGGCTGGCAGGCCGTGTCCGCATGGCTGCTGCGGACGCGCAACTAATTCTGTCTAATATGCTAAGCGTTTCCACGGTGATTATTCATTGCATGCCCAGCTAATGAAAACTGAGAAGCACATCGTGTGGTAACCTCGACCACTTGGTTGGTGTGCTTGAACGTTTTTCATTATTTTGCCCTTTATGTATTTGGCTTCATCGCTTTACGAACCCACTACCGCCCACTATACACACAATATTATAAATGAAAGGCCATGAAACTTAGCAGGAACGCAAGCTTTGTATATGCTGGGCCAAGATTGCACGTAGAAGTGTGGTTCAATGAAATGAAATGCTGTCTCACTACACCAAGCATCACCAAGTTACATAGAACTTCAACCTCTGCAAAAAAAAAAAAAGTACGCTCTCAGTGATACGCATTTTTCCGGCACTATGTGTTCTTTATACTGAAACTGCCTCTCTCTTCAACGTGCATTCACTGTGATCGCAGTAGTTTACTGACAAAGCAAACAGTTTCAGAGCACACAGCATGTACTCATATTTGGGTGCACGTTTAAGAACCCCAGGTGGTCTGAATTTCCGGAGCCTTCCACTATGGCGTCTCTCATAATCATATGGTGGTTTTGGGACGTTAAACCCCACATATTAATCAGAGCACACAGCTATACTACGAATTTCAATTCAGGTATTAAACACATGCTATGAGGAACAAAAGTAAACTTTATAGGAAGTAACTTCGAGCTTTTCCGTAATATCGATCCTTCAAGTATAACCAATCAAAATATTCTGTACAGGAGATCTAAATATACAGCCCCGTCGTTGAGAACATATGAAGACCGTGAGTGTCGAAGTATTAGTATTCATTTTATTTGCCAGTGGAATAGGCCACCTAAATTTATTGTGGTCCAAGCCTATTATTCGCGGCGAGAAGTCTTCAGAAAGAATACTCTTTTGCAGTCTGCTATTTTGCACCGTGAATAGATGTTAACCAATGGTTCTTCAAATGCGACCCATCTCAGAGGCGTCAAGCTACAAGACCGGGAAAGATGGAGTACGTAAAGGTGACGGGAGGGGAGTCATCGCATATTCCTATCAAAAACACGTCTTCAGCCTACGAGTAGAACAAAACTTTCAACAGCCGAAATATGCGAGCTATGCAATGTGGCTGCTTCCCGATTCAGTCTTCAGAGAGATCACACTGATATTTCCACGAGCACTTATAATTAAACCGGCTCATTACAGGTGAAATAAGTGTACCATCTCCCGCTAAAGAGAATCATTTGTCGATGCGAAGCTGCGGGGAGATGGTCCGCTTGAGTGGACGATGGTGTACTTTGTTGAGAGTTTGTGCTTGCGCTAACGCTGACACTGGCGGCGGCGTTGACGTTGGCCCTCATCGCGCTGTTGTACAGGAGAGGATCGAGCGGAAGCACTCCGTCGTTTTATACCGCGGAACTTCTGTGGTGTCCTCAGCGAATTATGCAGCTGGCGCACCATTTGTCGTGCGCGCCGCTCCCTATAGAGAAGAGAATTCCTGGAGGAGAGAGAGGGAGAGAGAAGAAAGAAGAGGAAAGGACGCGAATGCGCAGTGGGGTGTGGACGGCACGTGAACGAGTAAGGGACGGACACAGTCCTCGACATAACTTGCTTCGCATCTGGATTTTGTAAACGAGGTGTGGGGGGGGGGGGGGTTGCAAGAAGACAAGTATACTTGTCAAAACGTCGGGTTGAACACATATCCCCTGCTAACGGATTTTCATAACAAAAGCTGTTTTTAGATCACAACTCGCGTCACGCGCAGTTGTCCGCCACCGCCGCCGCAAGCTCCGTAGCCACATCGCGCGAATTGAGAAAAAAAAACACTGAGCTACGCCGGTGCACGTGACTTGTTGGCAAACTTCCTTTAGATAGGCTTGATGTCGGGAAAGCAATCGCTTAATTACGACTTATAAAGTGTTTTAAAACAGTGGAAAAAGAACCAGTCACCGCACAATGCGAATAGAGTAACGAGTGGGCCGTCCGATGCTCCAACCCATTACAAAAGCCTGTTCTTGTCCCCCTGTTCAGTGGCGCATACCCACTTCAGCCATAATTCGTCATCGTCGTCAGCCACTGCATGGACAATGGGCACAAAATTTCTTGCAAGTGTTAAGAGGACACCGCGCTCTTCAGAAGAATGACGTAAAATAGCATACCGAATGCCACCCTACTACCCAAAAATTTTATTAATAATTCTGTAGTGAATATCAAGCCAGTGTGCGTGCAGTAGTTACCCAGTAAACGTTTTGAAAAGGCTCTGAAAAAGCCACTCTTCTAGCTTTCACTGTGACTGTGTTGCACCTTCCGCGCAGGCTTGGCGTATTTTTCATTTTCATCGCAAGCTTGCATTTTCTCCTTCCTGTTGTGTTGCGATCTATTACAGGTAAGACAACTGCACTCCGCAAACACGGCCTGCATGCCTCTAATTTTTCGAGCTGATTGTCTTAGAATCTCCCAATAAGACTGCAGTGCACCAAGTCAAGTCAAGTCAAGTCAAGTTTATTAAATAGTTCAGTTGAGTTACATGGTTAGCGTTATTACAGCAGGAGGTCCCAAAGTTTCAGAGAAACTGACAGGGGGACCTCCTATGGCTACATGGATGGGGTAATTACAAAAAAATACAGCAATAGTATACGGTCTTGCGAGTAATAATGAATAATCTTGATTAACAATAAAAACACGATCAATACACAACATAATGGTAATACTCACTATTGAAAAATAACAAGGAAACAATCAAAAGCAAGTTAAGACAAAAAACAATATTAATGAACTCTACGTGACAAATGTAACACGTTTTATTATCAGTGTTATCAATTATACAATGGCAAATTGAAGTAGTAAAAAAGCACAGAACTGTGGAAAGCTATTAACAGTTAATTACACAAATCCGATGAGTTGATTAATTCCTGAACGTAATATTTCTTACTACGCGAAGTGAAAATATGGATGTTATGCGATGATTTCAATTCGAAAGGCAATGAATTCCAAATGGCTATGCTAGTAAATAAGGTTGAGAACCTGCCGTAGTTTGTCCTTACGGCCGGCAAAAGAAGATTATAGCACTGAGAAAACCTGGTGATGTTACCATTAGTTAAGTGACGATGATCAATGCATGCAATAAAAATGTCATGCGTGATGAGTCTAAAGGCGACAACGGACATTCTATGACAAAATAATTGTCTCAATGGGAGTATGTTAAGCTGAGAAAACAACGAGCTGCAGGAGAAGTAAAATGGGCTGAAAGTCATTAATCTAACTGCTTGATTCTGAAGTCGCTGCAAACGTTCGATGTGCGTGAAATATGTGTTGGCCCAAGATGATACGCAATACGAAATATGGCTATGAATATAAGCAAAATACAAAGTACGTATGATGTGAGGCGGAAAATAAGTTCGTGTCTTGATGATAACGTGAATACCAAATGCAATCTTTTTAGCGAGTGATGCTGCATGTTTATGAAATTTTAGTTCGCTAAGATGACGCCAAGAAACCGCGCTTCACTGGAAATGTTTATGACGGTATTACCAATGTGAAGGGAAGGTTGTATGTCAAGTGAAATGCGCGGGGAATGGAACAACATAAACACGGTTTTAGTAGCATTGATCTGAAGATAATTGGCCTGGCACCATAAAGTAATGTTATGTAAATCTGTGTTGAGGTCAGACTGGAGTGAAGAAACTGATTTAGATGACTGAAAGATGGTTGTGTCGTCAGCGTAAAGTATGCACTTGGTCCTTGTAAGAATTGTAGGTAGATCATTAATAAACATCAAAAATAAAAGTGGGCCTAAAATTGATCCCTGTGGAACACCGACGTTAATTAACTTGGGCGTTGAAAGATGGCCATTAACATGAACCATTTGAGACCGGTTACTGAGGTAGCTCTTAATAAAACTTAGTGGCGGACCAGACATACCAAATGATTCGAGTTTAGCAAGTAGAACGTGATGATTTATAGTGTCAAAAGCCTTCGTCAAATCGATTAACACAGATCCCACAAGTAACCCTCTATCAATAGCTTGTTTAATTTCCTCCGTTAGGGTAATTAGTGCCAGCTCAGTTGAATATCCATGACGGAATCCGAATTGTTGTGGAGATAAAAGATTAAATTTTTTCAGATAACGCATTAATCTAATGTGGAATAACTTTTCAATTACCTTACCGAAGAAAGGCAGGATACAGATTGGCCTATAATTCTGTACAAAAGTCTTATCACCCTTCTTAAAAACTGGAACTATTTTACCAAACTTAAGGCAGCTCGGAAACACACCCGCTGAAAACAGCTTGTTAATAATTACTGCCAAAGGTGGGGATATTAAGTTTGAAACTAGCTTTACTTTAAAAGGATCAATATTATCTAAACCAGCACTTGTGGTCTTTAGTGATGTGATGACCTGAAGGACTTCATCTGCAGACGTGGAATGAAGATAAAAAGAATAAGTACACCGTGGTATGTTGCGTAAATGACCTGGTGATTGCTGCGTATCCGCAGATGCGCAGAAATGCTCACTGAACGTGGCGGCCACTCTTACAGGGTCGGTATACATTTCGTCGCCTTGCTTTATTTTTATTGTGGGATCTGAGCATTTTTTCATGTTCAAGAAATCTTTAATGATTTCCCAGCAGCGTCTCGTGTTACCCGCGTTTTTTACAATGAGATTCCGGCAGTAATTGCGCTTAGCACACCTAAGTAAGGAAGATAATGTTGCTGAGTATTTGTGAAAGCCGCATTTTAATGCGAGATTATAAGGCTGCGACTTTAGTTTCTTATGAAGGTTATTCTTTTTATTAATGGACTTCAACAACGAGTTGCTTATCCATGGATTTCTAGGGGAAAGATACCACTTCGTGACAGTAGTGGAAGTGGTGGATGCATCTATACCTGAAGCTATTACTTCTGAGAAAGACTCAAAAGCCTTTTCTGCGCAGTCTAGATTAGTCACCGTTGTCCAGTCTACTATGCTAATTATTTGCACAAACTTGTCCGCGTCGAATCGGCGTTTCGTAGAGATGTTACTGGCCTTGGTATTTTCGGAGCCCAGAATGAAAAATACGGGATTATGGTCTGTAATGCTATGATCTATTACACCTGCTACGTGTTCAGTGGAAATGTTGGAGATAATATGATCTATTAGGGTATTCGAACCTAGTAAATCGTTTCTAGTTGGTGCTGAGATATGCGACGTAAAGCCATAGCAGTATAAACAGTTCATATATTCTAAGCACGATGCACTATCAGGATCAATAATGTTTATATTAAAATCACCACATAAGACAACGTTTTTATTTTCCCTCACTAGGTTATTAAGAATTATGCTTAACTGATTACAAAAATCGGAATACGACGATGAAGGTGACCGATAAATGGAAGCTATAATAGTACTACGGCTATTCAATGGTATAACACTATAGTTGAATTCAAGCCACACAGATTCACATAAAATATTATTAAAGATTATGTCACTATGGCGTGTGTAGGTTAAGGATGAGTTGACAAGTATGGCACTACCGCCACCACGACAGAGCTCCCGATTACAGTATTCGGAATAATAACCTGGCAATCCGTACAAGTTATCCTCATTACCAGACAACCAAGTTTCAGATAAACATATGACAGAGAATGAATGTTTAAGCAAGGAAATCAACGCAACAAGGTCATCCTGGTGCTTTCTAAGACTGCGAATGTTTAAGTGAGATGCTTCCACTGATTGGCCTTCTTAAGCGCAAGTGCCTGTGCAAAGAGGCGCTTTCGTTCTGGTGTGAGATGGTCATTCACATACACAGGTTTAGGGCCTGTGCTCTGAGAAAACCCTATATCTGTGGTAGACAAGCGTGCCTTTCTTGCCTTTTTAGCGAATTCAGCCTTCTTGTTTCTCGAACAAAATCGCGCAATAATGTTGCTTCCATTCTTTGCGGGCACCCGATGCGCGGCGTCTATGTCTGTATCGGCAATTGGACAACCAATCTTCTCACCGATAACCTGGACGACTGCCAAGCAGTCTTCGCCCTTTGTCTCAGGGATTCCCTTCAGTTCAACATTATTAAGTCGCGAGTATTGTTCGAGATCACACATTTGTTTACTGAGCTTCTTATTCTCATCCCTCAGGACCTTGTTTTCTTTAGTTAGTGCCTCATTGTCATTCTTTACACGTTCACAGAGGTCATTGAACATCACAAGGCTTGTTTTCATCTCTGCGACCTCCTGCCGAAGAGCCTGTATTTCCTTTGCCAGTTCCGCGCAAGTCGGCATTCTCAAGATAAGTAATGAAGAAAAGTATACTCAAAATACGGAACACAAGACACAAAATAAAGACACAAACACACAAGACACAAGACACAAAATAAAAAAAATAAACTATATAAAATATATTGAAGGCAGCAGTGGAAGCGAGAAAAAAGGCAAAACAGAAAGGAGTGCACCGAGAAGCAACGAACCTGGACGGAGCGAACACAAGGGTCAATGCTTGTACACAGCCGCAACCACTGCTGCCAAAATGACAAGCAATGGCAAACGATGGTCTATTTGTAGGGCTCCTTGTCCGGTAGATGGCGAACGTAGCGGCTGAAGTTCAGTGACGTAGCTGCACGTGCCGAGGATACAGCAGGAGCAGCTAAGCAGTGCTGTCCAGTAAGCCGTGCAGATAAGATTCACCACCTGGACGGAGCGAACACAAGGGTCAATGCTTGTACACAGCCGCAACCACTGCTGCCAAAATGACAAGCAATGGCAAACGATGGTCTATTTGTAGGGCTCCTTGTCCGGTAGATGGCGAACGTAGCGGCTGAAGTTCAGTGACGTAGCTGCACGTGCCGAGGATACAGCAGGAGCAGCTAAGCAGTGCTGTCCAGTAAGCCGTGCAGATAAGATTCACCACCTGGACGGAGCGAACACAAGGGTCAATGCTTGTACACAGCCGCAACCACTGCTGCCAAAATGCAACCACTGCTGCTGCCGCAACCACTGCTGCTGCCACGCGTGAATGATACCAATAATTCTGAAACTAATGCGGCCTTCAAGAGTAACGGTGAAAATTTTCATGCCGCAGGAATAAAAAGCCGACACGCTTTACTGCTTACCAGATTGCTCGAATGTCGACGCTGTTGTGGCCGCTATAGCTTGCGAATTCGAGAGCCTTGATAGCTTGCGAATTCACTTTTTGTTTCGTGGGCACAAGTTAGCCCAAACAGATTTCGATAAATTCGAGTAGTGTTGGAGTCCTCTTCACCGCCATGACCACATGGCAATACAGTGACGGCACATTTTTCACAGAAAACTGTTTCGTGCGCGCTAACAAAGCCAACTTCTATGACTCACTGTTCCATGACCACCAGCTCGGCCACTGGTGCTGCTCCTTGACCTGCTTCCTGACGAATTTCATGAATTTTCGGAGATCCTTTTCTGTCGCCTCTTTGCTCCTCTTCAGGTCTACCGTGGAAAGCCCCGACGGTGCCTCGGGGGCTTCTCTTTTCACCACAGGGGCCATCTGGGCACTGAACAGAAACAACTAGCTTTGTATAAATTGATCATCAGAAAACGCTAGGTTGCTGTGGTAATTACGATTAACGTTACGTTTATGCGTTTATACAATTCATTAGGAGGAGGAGGATTGAAAAAGGAAGGACAGGGAGGTTAGCCAGTTCTACAATTCGTGGGCTCACGTGAGTGCCGAGGAGGCGGTACTACGACGAACAGACATGTCTGACTGGTATCCTACCACTATTGTTAGACTGGAACCACAGTAGGTACTAACATGGCCGTAACGACATTGCAATATGAGGGTATAGATGGCTTGCGTTGGTGTCACTGAAACCACGGTTTCGGGGCACCAGCCTGTAGATGCGCAACGCTTGCGATGCCGCAAGTGCATTATCAAAACACCCCATCCAGGTGTTTTCGTTGTTCATGCCCAAAGGCGCTCCTATGACGTCATCATGTTCACATTGTCGAAATTTCTTTCTCACCAAAGCCGCCATCGTGGAGTGCAAGAACACTGAAAAGCTCCGTGCATGACGTCTCGTGCAAGCCATTTACATAGCAGTTCACACACAATAGCACATATAACAACTAATAAATGAACATAAATATTGATACAGATTGTCAAAGCATGTAACTAAACGAAGAATAAATCAAGCTGACAACGATGCATATTCGGAAACGGCCATTGCACAGAATCAACATAAACACTGATAAGCCTGAGAATCAAGATACGGAATAAGATGTAAATAGTCTGGTTTATGCCAAGACAAAAAAAAAATTGCCCGCAGCTTCCCTCGGGGGAACACTGAGGAGGATGCGGAGCATATAATTGGTTAACGGGGTGTTAAAGTGCGGCTTACTTGGGTCGATGGCTAAATTGGTTAACGTGGTTTTGAAATGGGGTGTTAAATTGCGACTTACTTGGGTCGATGGCTAAGTTGGTTAACGTGGTTGTAGGAGGGGGTGTTAAATGAGTGAACACGTACACACGTATGCGAAAGGGCGGCGCTGGTCGAAGGGACGTCGATCATTGTGTTTGTGGATTCGTTGGAATTCATTTCACCGCGACCTTGGACGTCGACGCGCCGTACAAACCAACCGACGAGCGGCAACTGAGCGAGCGAGCGCCGACCTTGAGTATATATACAGCGCGACGGCGCATGCACTGTCAGCTGTCGAATGTTCGAGAAGGGGGAGAAGCGCAATGGCGCATGCGCGCGCGTCAGCTGCCGATGTTCTCGAAGCGTGACGGCGCATGCGCGCTACATTATACAGCTAGCGAATGTTCGTGAAGAGGAGAAGCGCACGCGGTTTATAGAGGAGGAAGGGTGCACACATGGCGGAGGAGTGAAGCGCCCGCGGTGTGTAGAGGAGGAAGGGATGCACAGATGGTGGAAGAAGGAGGAGGAAGCTTGCGGACGGCGCCGCACTACAAGCCTCGAGTATTAGATGCTCCGCATCTAAAAAAAAGTGAAACTACAAACAACTGAGGAAGTCGATTTTAATGCAATACGAATGCAAGAGGAGATGTGGATTGTTCATTAACATTGAAGATGACTTCATTCCTCTACTTACAGTCTTTGCTATTGTCTAAAAATATGCACTATCAGCAAGAAATGAAGTAATAAGAACAATGGCTGAACTTCTCCTTTGTTCTGACGTTCACACCATCTCATTTCAGTCACTGCTTTTTTTTTGTAGCGATTATTACATATTTTCTGAAAAGTAGCCTAAATGAAGCTTGTTTGAGTACTGCATAACGAAATTAGTTTCTAACGAAGACATAGATACGTTATTTTATGAACACATTTTACAAATAAAACGTTATTGTAATGAGATACTTGGTGTTACGCTATAACGCTGTTTATGTGGTTGGAGCTGTACTTATTCACTTAAAATTTCTCCCCCTACCCAAAAATGTATAGCCTGTAGGAAGAGTACCAAAAATAAATGATTACGAAGTTTTAGAATAGCGCACCGCGAGCCCTTGCGGTGCGGTTGCTGCCACTGCGCATGCGTCGTAACGCGAGTTGGCGTTAGCATTCGTGGACCGGACGCAGAAAATCCGAAATTGCGTGCGGCGATCGCGGCCCGCGAAGTGCTGTTGTCGAGGTTACGTGTAGTTTCCCTGCATTTGAGTTTGCGTGTAAGCTGAAGTCTCTAGATTGTTCCCTCGGAGGGGCAAACGGTATTCTAAAACGTCCCATCAAGTTGGGTGCAAGTCAAACAATTTCAATTCGTTACCGGCATAAAGGTGTGCAGGGCATATATCAGTGAAACGTTCACATTAGCATTATTAATCAGTGTAACTTAACAAAGGCATTTAGCTGCACTTGCAGCGTGAAGAAATTTAGCGCACGTTCTTTTGCCTTAAAAATACGAACGCGCAGAACACAGTGTATACTGCGCAATTGAACGAGTTGGAATATTCCGGATTCCGCTACGAAGCAGGTATGCCGCAGACGGGCGCCGCGTTTACAGATAGGATACAACGTTAAAAGGCCTAGGAATCATTTGTTTAGAAAACTGTCTTTAAACACGGAAAATATGATGTAGTATACTATAGGATGTAAGTAATTATGTTTAACACAATTTTTATCAGCGGGAGCCAACGTCAAAACGTGCCTTTCAGATCGCGTAACGCAAAGCTTTGTGTTGCTGCTGCTGCCACTGCGCATGAGTCATAACGCTAACCACCGTTAGCGCTTGCAGTCCACTCATAAGAACTCCAAAATAGCGTGCGACCCGCGAAGCCCGCAAAGTCCCTTTGCGGTGACTTCAGCGTGGGAAAGTGTTAGCTGAGGACAATTGCTATTCGATACCCCACACGGCGGAGATACGCCTACGCTACGCCCGCATGGCCCGCTAGCTTTGCCTAAGCTATTCGAAAACCCACCATTAAAGCAAAAAAATCCGTAGGTGGACGTTGATAAACAACCCATGCAACATACCAAGTAATCTACAAGAACGTATACCACCTGTAGGCTCCTACGCAAAATGCCTGAAAACCTTTGGTATTCCATACCGGCACGGCGTTACACAGAACCAAACACATCGCAATGTTGCAGTGAATAATGAAAGCAGCTCAATGCAAGCATTACTGATTTTAGTTACGTATAACAGTGCGTACCTTTAGTAAAGAGCGTAGTTGAGAGGCCTCGGTGTCGTCAAACTTGAACGCGCTTCGGCCAAAAAGTCGCCAGAGCGAAGACTGCTGCCTCCTCTGACGGGCGGTGCGCGGCGTCTGAACAGCGGACCCGTACCAGCGGCAATTGAAGTGGAGACGCTAGGTGCGTCGGCGTCTCGTCCAGTGCACGCGCTTCGATGGGTCGTACCAGAGACGCTAGCGCGCGTTTTCTAGTGGCGCTACAATTCTCAGAAAACCATGCAAGTGCCGCGATGAGCGGGACGCGTTCGGGCGTGTCTCTTTCGTGCAATATCTTTGTGAAAACAACGCCTCCTCTAGAAAGATGCCTGAGGAATGGCTCGCGCTCCTAGCGGAGATGGCCTGCCGTCAGTTTTAAACAAGCTTCGCGCGGTGGCGCTCGCGACCGACACTCAAAAATATAGGGGCTTTAACACTACTAGCACGGCGACGGGCGGTACCAGCTAAGCGTTTTTTATCTGCGGCCCAAAGGGGCGCGTCTGTCAAGAATTGTTTGAGACCTGCAACTGTGCACTACTCTTTCGGAGGCTGTGCAGAGTGTTGCGTTGTTGCACCGTCCGCCACAGGTGACGCTAGCGACCGAGAACATTTCAAAATAAAGGAGGGAAACGGTGTGTCAGCTGTTTTTTTTTTTTCTCATGCGGCAGGCATCTTATAGAGGAGGCGTTGGTGAAAACAAGGCATCCTTGACCAAGGCGTGCCCGATTATACCAACACCTCCTGTAATACTACGTTTCATACATCAGGTGCAACGCTGTGGAAGCTATGCGAGTAGTTTGGTCGGCCATTCGTGCTCGATGAGATGAGCATGAACGCGCTTGCACAGTGTCATTGCCAGCTGCAACGAAAATATGACGAGGCGAGAACAAAGATACGCTAAGTGATTCAGAAGAAAATAAACCATAATCCCGGTCATGGCGGCAGCATTTTCGATGAAGGTGAAAATGCTTAAGGTTCATGTGCATATTCTTGCTCACAATTTTGGTGCACGGTAAAGAACCCCAAGCGGTCAAAATTCCTGGAGCCTTTCGTTACAGCGTCTCTCATGATGACGTGGTGGTTTGGGAACGTTAAACTACAACAATTATTAAAGAAACCGTGTCTGAAACGGAAATATGACCGTACTATTTCTTAGTGCAAATGCATTCATTGCAAGAAGTTTCGATAGTCTGCAGTGCGCGGCACCTGGTGTATGAAACAAATCATACCCACAGGCTTGCTGCTGGAGCTAATCGTTAAGGTGATGACCCGACTTATATTACGAGCAAGAACGTTGACATGAGCCTCAACACCTCTCGCTGTGCTGGCGATTTGATTGATTTGTGGGAATAAACGTCCCAAAACAACCATATGATTATGAGAGACGCCGTAGTGGAGGGATTCGGAAATTTTGACTGTGCTGGCGAAGCTTCCGAATGTTTAATACGGCATGGTTGTATTACATCATATGGAAAGCTGAGGATCGGCGCGATATTTTAGCATAATTATTTAGAAATAACATGGCATCCTTGGTGCTCAAAAACATCTCAGCTCATGCTTTGTGGAGGTTTACCTGATTGTGCAATAAACGTAGACGCACTCCTAATCTCACTAAGTCTCACTTGAAGGTTCTTAATAATAAAGTAGAATACCAGCAGAGTTACTGTTACTTTATCAACTATGTAGAGAAAGCAGCGGAGCCAGTTACTGTTGTTTAGTTTAACATATTGCATTCTAACTCTGAATGTCTATTTTCACTGTATAGATCTGATGTAAACAATAAATCACCCTTAATAAATTCCCGATTTAAGGTAAACTTTAAGTCTCCAATAAAACACAATAAATACAATCAACCGTGGTAG